TGTCTGGCCAGTGTAACTTCCACTAAGCTTAATTTACTAATATTGGAAGTTGGGTCTCCCAACCCCCTAAGATTTGCCAGGCCTTACAGTTTTCTTTACACGTAAAAAGGGAATTAGCTTGTCTTCAGTACTGCAGATGACTAAGTGGACACACTGCTGTAGATAGGCACAGCAGTGCACATGTCCATGCAGAGGTCCCCCTTCTCCCACTGTCTAGCTTCATGTAGATATTCATACGGCTGAATAGAAGCTTATCACATTAACTGCTTAAACTAACCATAAAGTTTGAGAAATACACAGATCTATGCTGTTAAAAAAATAATGCCAAAGGCTAATCTCTCTCTTCCTGCCTCCAAAGAAAATGGAGAAACAGTTCTGATGCAGGTTCTTATATATTACTTATAGAAGCAAACATAGTGACACCATTTAAACATTTTCAGATGTTACCTGGAATATCCCAGCAGGTCTGTTGCTATTTTGCAGTCAATACATGAGGGGTACCTCTTTAGGAAATAGTCATAAAGCTGGAAATCATCCACTTCTGGAGTAAGCTCCCCAACAAATATTGAATAATCTGGTCTTTAAAAAGGTAAAAGAGAACCACGGTCAAGTTTGAGACTAACATAGCTCACCGCAGTATTAAAGTACCCAACATACAAGCAGTTATCACTGAACAAATACAGAGACAAAAATACGAACAGACTGCAGAACTCTGCTGAGCAATGTACAGAACTGCAATGCCATCACTACTACGGTAGAATGTCCATTCTACCACTTTTGCAAGAGAAAGCATTTTAACAAAGACCCATATTTATTAAAAAAACTTTTTAGAAGTGGGTTTTAAAAAGTAATATTTGCTGTCTGAAGGGCAGGGCACCCAAAAACACCACGAAAAACTATTAAGTTACAGCCATGATTCAAAAGAGCTATGACTATTTTGCCACCACTTTAAGTGATTATGAGAGAGACAAACTAGAAAAAAATCCTGAATATTCTACTGGTAATACAATTCCATAAGCAATACTTATAGTATAGGCACTAGGTGTGCCATTTCAGGATTTTAAAAATAAGTGATGGCATTCACTAGTCCTCATCAATTTAAACAGGTGAGGCTTCTCCATTCTAAAGGTCTTTACCTGGTCGTATTAGTACTACTAGGGACAAACTCTATTCTTCCTGGTTTTATTTTGTTCTTTTTCTTCCGTTTCTTCTGTGGTGTTCTCCACCAGCTGTATGCCTGGAGACATTCTCTTTTTTTCGCCATCAAGTCCTGTAGGGAGAAAAAAAATCACCTTTATAGTTTTTAGCCTCATTTACATTCCTCCCTCCCACTCCCCATCACCACAGGTGATTTCCCCATATTCACCTTGCCCTTGAAAGAAGCCTGGGGTCCCATTTCTCCCTCCGCCTCCCATGAGGGAAAGCAGCCTCTGGGGAAAACGCCTGGCAAAAATAACAGAGCCAAAGGATTGTATGAACAGCCATATTCCCCTGACTTGTCAAGCTGGCTAAAGGATTGACAGCTTCCTCTGGGAATTAGGGAAAAAGCAGATAGCCCTTTGATGCTGGCCAATCCTAAATGTTAATTAGCTTCAGGACTGGACTGTGTTCCACTTGAGCTCCAGGACGCAAAAAATCCTGCTGCAGCACAGTCTGACTGATGAGGAGGCAGGGAAATCGTCACTCTTCCAAAAGGGATCTCCGCTGTCCCTATCTTCCCCTCACCTAGGAATTCTTCTTCTGTGAGATGCCTCTCCTTACTACCCAGCAGTGAGTCACTCTCCCAGGCCAGGAACAACGACAAGAGGCCAATGAATGAAATGTAAGGAGAAAGCAGACCAGGAACAGGCACCAGCTTGGCTGAGGGAAAACGTGAACCCAGACGCAAGGCCAGGAAGGAAGAGGCATAAAAAAGTGCCTCTTACCAAAAAAAAAAAAAAAAAAGGAAAAAAAGAGAAAAAACTAAAACCCCAAAAACCACAGTTCAAAAAGGAAGTGAGTGGGGTAACTGCACAAAAAAAAAAAGGAGAGGAAACAGCCATATTAAGACAGGTTGCCTCCCTCTCAAGATTCTGAAGAACAAGGACTTCCAAAAATGAGAATGATGTTCCACAGCTTTTACTTACGCAGGCTTTATCGTTCTTCCTCTATAACACCTCTACACGTATCTTATATAGAGAGTGTTACACGCAAGGTCCTTCAGAAGAACTCACACTCAAATAATCCAAACTGTGAAACTTTATGTTATGCCCCCAATCTGCTTCAGTTGACACAATTAAGTGTCCAGAGGACAGCCACCAATTACCACGTTGCCGGAAGAAATCACAGGACTAAAAGAACACCCAACTCAGAGCAAGCTAGCTATTTCAGCTTTACATTTACTAGGAATTCTGAGTATGGTTCTGGAATCCATTTAGGCACTGCAAGCCTGTATTTCTGACCACATGATCTTACCTGGCTTGCCATGGTTCAAACTGTCTTCTGTCTTTCTCAAACAGTATGGCTGCACAGATTCAGTTCACTCCTTCAGCTGGAAAAAGAACAGGGGATGAAAAAGATGAAGAATTTTATCCCTGAGATTAATTACTTCCAAATATGTTCACCCCTCTGCATCCTTTGAATGATATTAAGTCGGAACTTAATTTTTTAAGTTCTGACTTGTCACTGCTAAAGCAATGGGTGTGAAAAGGATATATGGCCAATGGGATTATGATTAGAAGTAATCTTCACTGTCTTAAACTGCAATACACCACAAAGCCTTCCCACTGTCCAAAGCACTAGAAAGTTACAGAGAACTTTTAAGTCACCTATACCTTACCCTTAATTCTGAAATACCTACACACAATAACCTAGTAATTCAGAAGATCCTAGAATAGTTAAAACAAGGCAACAAGATACAAGGCTTCAGTATGTTTTGCAAAAGTCCCCAGGGTTTCTTCCCCTTTTAGCCAAATTAAGAGTTCATTTACTTGCATCACAAACTACACAGCTGAAAACAAGCAGTGATACTTCCTGTGCGCTAAATAATAGAAATAAAAGTGGGATGAGTGCACAGTACAGATAAACGTGATCTTTCTCTGCACCTTTCCTTAGGACTGTTTTCTCTCTTTTGCCTTTTTCATTTACACATTTCACTCACTACCAGCGAGTTAGCCAATAAATGACCTTTTACTGCTACCATTACACCACTGGACACACTTTCCTGAAAAGGTATGAATCTTTGTTGATTCCAATATCCTTTCTTTAAGCTTTTTCCCCTAGTCATCTAACAAAAATAAATCAGTGCAAAACCAAGCTTCATTTGTAAAATATTCTACATTTACTTCCACACACAGCTGTTTATTCACCACTGCTGATTTTTTTTATATCCAGTGTTGCTCCTTTTATGCAGATGCTTGATTGCTGAAGTTCTAATTTCTATTTCCATGCAAGAATTTATGCAATCTTTTACATCCTAGCTGATCAAATCCACATTCACATAATGCAATAAACAGGGAGCGTCCATAATGCCTTAAAGGCTTGCCCACAGAGGGGACCAGTTCAGAGCACTGCTTCTGAAAGTGGATTAGGCTAACCTGACACAGGATAGCCACAAACCATAATTAGACCATCCATGCATGGTGCTATTCAAAATAACTATGGACTTTATCCCCACAGCCATTCTGGAGGCAATGAAACCGTCAAGTACAAACAAGCCCTTAAAATACGGTCTAGTCCCAGTAAGGTTAGCATATGGTAAATTGAGAATACACTTACTAAAAGTAACTGTGTTCATTATAATTAGCAGCAGCAGCGTCTTTCTGTTAAAGATGGTCATTATTAATACAAATTTCCACAGATCAATGTTCCTCTAACTGAAACAGTACTTTCTATTAAGAGGAACTATGAACTTCTCCACAACCTAACACTGAAATAATTAATTTTCAAATTCTCGGCTGCACAGTAACTTCTGTTAAACTTACTGCTTTTCACTCATGCAGATCTGGCAGAAGACGAGCACACACAATAAAGCAGTCTTGTTGTAAAAGGCTGTCAGGAGGCAAGTGATGCAACTGCTTCTCACCAACTTTTAAGCAACACTGTTTGTCCTCTTCCTCATCCAATCTTGACTGTCACCCCTTGATCTTTTCACTATGAAATAAAAACATTTTAAAAGCAGTTAAAACAGCATGTATAAACATTTTATTTTTTTTTTAACATCTGTCTTAACTGTAGCTAGCTTTCATTTAGGCAGTTGGGCAGCTTCAGCCTGCAGAATTCAAACAGATCCTCAGCTGGATTACACACACATATCATAGCAGTTTTTTATTGTATTCCAAAGGTTCTTTTCATTATTGTGTTTATACACGCAAAAAAGCGGGAGAAGCTACCAACAGGCAGTATCGGTGCGAACACCGCTCACCCGGGCAGCGGCCAAGCCGCCCCCTTCCTACGGCACTAATTTCGCTCACACGAGCGCTGGGTCAGAGCAGGGGGGTTGGGGAAGCTCCCGTAGCCCCCAGGGCCGGCGCAGTGACCCCGGCCGGGCCCAGGCCCGAGCCGTGACGCATTTCTCTAACTGAGCCACTCGGCACGACGGGAAGAGCCCGACCACAAGTGCGCCCCGCCCGGCCGCGGCCCTCCGCAAGCGGCCACACTGGCGCCGCGGCCGCGCTTCCCGCTCATTGTGCTACGCGGTAAGAAATCGAATTGGAAAAAAAAAAAAAAAAAACAACCGTAAAATCACCCGACAATACAAAAATAAAAGCCAGCGGGCCCAGCACTAGGAAGACGGTGGGGGAGCCGGTTCTCTGGTGCCTCGGCCCAAGCGCCGCCGGGGCCTCCCCGCCCCACACGCCCTGAGGGAGGAGGCGGCGGCCCTGCGGCCCCGGGGGAAGGGAAAGGTCTGACCGCCCCTCCCCTCCTCCTTCGGTCCCAGAAGATCGGTTCGCGCCCCTTTTCCTCCCCACCAGCCCCCGGTGCCGGTCACCGCTCCCCCCCTCCCCTCCCGATCCCGGCACTAACGCCTCTCGTCCTCCCCGCCGCCATCACCGCCCGCGCCAGCGCCGCTTCCGCCCCGCGAGGCCCCCCCGCGCGGGCTGCCCCGCGCGCAGCCTGACCCCGCGCCCTTCCCTGCGGCGCTTCCCGCTCCGCGGCAGCTCCCGCGGGATTCTCCTCCTCACCCGAGGGGAGCGAGCGCCGCCGGGGACGCCACACGCCGAGCCAGCGCGGAGCGGCGCAGGCAGCGCGGCGGGCGGGCGGAAGAGCCAGCAGGAACCCCGGGGCGGCGCCGAGCGGCGGCGGATGGAGCTGGTGGCGGGGTGCTACGAGCAGGTGCTGCTGGGGTTCGCCACGCGGCCCGGGCAGGTAAACGGGGGAAATGGGGAGGGGGGTGGGGAGAGAGAGGAGGATGGCGCATAGAATCACAGAATGGTTTGCGTTGGCAGGGATCGTCAGGTTCCAAACCCCCCTGCCATGGGCCGGGACGCCTTCCACGAGACCAGGTTGCTCAGAGCCCCATCCAGCCTGGCCTGGAACACCTCCAGAGAAAGAGAGGGAAGAACGAGGGGGGGGGGAAGGGAGGAAATATATGGGGAAATATGGAGGGGAAATGGCCGCGCGCGCACGCCCGTCCGCCCCCCCGAGATCGCTCCCCTGTACTCACCGTCTAGCCCGTCCGCGGCCGCGGTTCTGGGCGCCGCCGGGGCTCTTAAAGCGCCCTGCGGGGGCGGGGCGGCCTGTCCCGCGGCCTCTCCCGCCAGGCTCGGCCCCCTCGCTGCCCCAGAGGGTTCCCAGGAGCTGCGCGAAGCCTCCCCCGGGCTGCGGGAAGCCGCGTGGGTGAGGGGGGCCGCGGTGCGGGGCCGCTTCTCTCTACGCGGGGGTGAGGAGGAAGAGCTGCGCAGGGGATGGATGGGACGTGGTCTGGGGGCTGGTGCCAGGTGGAAGGCGTGTCTCCAGCCTGCCGTGATGGAAAACGAAAGGATCCGCCTCCCTCGGCCATGAGATTTGTCTCTGTGCAGACGCTTTTTCACCGGCAGCTTCGTCTAAGCACGGCACTGATTACAAGGGGCGGCTTGCACGCTTAAATCCTTTAGACTAATCTCCTAACAGCACATTAACTCAATAAGATCCCATTATGCTTATGTGTAATTCCTCCCCCTGTACTTGGCACTGGTGTACAAGTACACAGCCACACCTCGAGTACTGTGTCCAGTTCTGGGCCCCTCAGTTCAGGAAATACACCGAGGTGCTGGAGCAAGTGCACAGATGGGCAAGGAGCTGGTGAAGGGTCCGGAGCACAGGTCTGATCTTGAGTAGCTGAGGGAGCTGGGATTGTTTAGCCTGGAGAAAAGGAGGCTCGGGGGTGACGTTATCACTCTCTACAACTACCTGAAAGGAGGTTGTAGCCAAGTGGGGTCCGTCTTCTACTCCCAGGCAACTAGCAGCAGGATGAGAGGACACAGTCTTAAGCTGCACTAGGGGAAGTTTATGTTGGACATCAGGAAGAATTTCTTCACAGGAAGGGTGATTAGACGTTGGAATGGACTGCCAAGGAGGTGGTAGAGTCACCATCCCTGGAGGTGTTTAAAGAAAGACTGGACGTGGCACTTAGTGCCATGGTCTGTTGGTCATAGGTTGGGCTCGATGATCTCAGTGGTGTTTTCCAACCTAATCGATTCTCTGATTCTGATTTTTACACATATACTTTTTCAGGTTTTTCTTTTACAAAATAAAATTACAGGACGATGAAGTGGAAGCTTATGATGGCAAGCTTCATAAATACCTGTTTGTTTTACATTTCATTTACAGTCCTGGACAATCGTCCCTGATTTTACACATCATGCCCACTCTGCCTCATTGTCAGCAGTAGCAGTGAATAACAGATATGTGGTCACTGGGAGCAGAGATGAGACAATCCAAATCTATGACATGAAAAAGAAGATAGAGCATGGGGCGCTGCTACAGCACAATGGTAAGGGAGCATTTCTTTGTAAAAAGCATTAATGGTATAAAATTGTAGCTGAAAAGCCAGCCCTCACCAGAGAAGAAAACTGATTGTTTTTTTAATGACTCTAATAGTGGTGGTGCTGCAGCCATGATGGTATGATGATACAAACAAGGTAAACTTTTGAGCATAAAAGTAAAAAAATTATTTTGGATATTAGTGCTACCACAAATATAGTTGCTTCTTACAACTGTTTTTAGTTTTAACTGTTTAAAAAGTTATGACCCACAAATGGCTTGTGCCATTTTTCTTCTATCAGGAAAGTTACATATGTGAGAGCAGGCTGCTGCTGCCAGATGAGTTAATGTGGTACACTTCCCACTGTCTGTGCTGGCTGAATTACAGCTGTAAAAGTACATCATAGAATCATGGAATAGTTTGGATTGGAAGGTACCTTTTAACGGTCATCTAGTCCAACTCCCTTGCATTGAGCAGGGACATCTTCAACCAGATACAGTCACTCAGAGCCCCGACCAACTTGGCCTTGAAGGTTTCCAGGGCTGGAGCATGGATCATCTGTCTGGGCAAACTGTTTCAGTGTATCACTGCCCTCCTTGTAAAAACACTTTTTCATTATATCTAATCTGAACTGACCCTCTTCAATTTAAAACTGTTACTCCTTGTCCTGTCACAACAGGCCCTGCTAAAAAGTTTGTCCCTGTTTTTCTTACAAGTCCCCTTCAAGTGTTGGAAGGCCTAAATAAGGTCTTCCTGCAGCCTTCTCTTCTCCCAGCGGAACAATCCCCATCCTCTCAGCCTTTCCTCACAGGAGAGGTGTTCCATCTCTCTAGTCATCTTCATGGCCCTCCTCTGGACTTGCTTGTTGGGATCCCAGAGCTGAATGCAGCACTCCAGGTGGGGTCTCAGCTGAGCAGAGTAAAGGGACAGAATCCCCTCCCTCAACCTGCTGACCATGCTGCTTTTGATGCAGCCCAGGATACAATTGGCTTTCTGGGTTGGAAGCACACATTGCTGGCTCATGTCCCGCCTCTCATCCACCAGCACGCCCAAGTATCTCTCAGCAGGGCTGCTCTATGATCTGTTCATCCCCCAGCTTGTATTGATACCAGGGCTTTCCCTGTGCTTCGTGGAATCTCATGAGATTCCCATGGGCCCACTTCTTGAGCTTGTCCAGGTTCCTCTGGATGGCATCCCATCCTTCCCTGCTCAGCTTGCTGTCATCTGCAAACTTGCTGAAGGTGCACCCTTTGTCTATATAATTGGTACAGTCACCAGTTAATGGCTGTCCAAATAAACCTGTTTGGGTCATTTATAGCTCAGTCCTGATGAGCTAAGAAGAACCTGGAGTTTGACTCAGCACAGTACCTGCATTTAACTCCTGTATGATGAATCTGGTGCTTATGGGACACAGTATGTGCAGTAGATTCAGCTGTGTGTCGGTAGCAACAGGGCTTTGACATGGGAGCATTCCTTATCGCTGATAGGAGCCCTCTGTCATCCGTGCCACAATGTTTGAGTACTGCTGTGTCAGAGAAAAGACCAGGCGGAGTTCAGACATGTATGGCTAAAGGGTGGCTGATAGAGCACATAATGTATGTGTTATATGTGAATATAACAAGAAAATTTCAGAGTTTTGTGAAGAAATACTTAGGAAATAATTTAGATTTTCCCAAGGGTAGGGTAGTAGCTGGCATGTTTTGATGGAAGATGCTTTTCTGTTAATTCCTGTGTGTGCTGGTTTAAAAGTAAACCAGCAGGGGAAACGAACTCAACTCAGAAGAGAGATTATAAGTCAGAATAACAATTTAATAAAATAATACAATAAGTATGATTATACAGACAAACAATTGGTTTTAACCCACAAAACCCAAATGTATAACGCAGCACCTTGGGGCATGACCAGAGTGGTGTTTGTTGGACCCCCTGAGTCCAAAAGGAGAGGGGAAAAACCTGTTGGTGAGAGTGCTGTTGCAGTCTGGTTGAAAAGTGGTGGTTGCAGTCTGGTTGAAAAGTGGTGGTTGCAGTCCAGTCGAGAGTGGTGGTCTGCAGTTTGGTTGAGAGCGGTGATCTGCAGTCTTCCTCTGGAACCCACAAGTGGTTAAAAAAGTTCCAAGACTCCAAGATTATATATCCTCCAGTTCAGGCAGGAATGCCCAGTACTTCCCTCAGGGTGGGGAGTTCCACAATGTGTGAGGACAGGAGCATCCTCCTATCTCAAAGGCCTCTTAACACCTAGTTTAATGCCTGAGGAGTCAGGCTGCTCTGGGCAGAAGGTGTAAATGGTCTATTGATAGCAGTTTCTGGGAAATGGCATGGAAGGCTATAGAATACACAGTTTTGGGTTACACCCATCCAGTGATGAACTGGACCCAGCTGTTCTAACTAGGACACTGTTCTCTGTGCAATAACTGTTTGGTTTGTACAACATTGTTAATAGCTCTGGTTTGTATTTCTAGGGACAATAACTTGTTTGGAGTTCTATGGTACTGCACATCTATTGAGTGGGGCTGAAGATGGACTCATTTGTATCTGGAATACAAAGAGATGGGAATGTCTGAAATCCATTAAGGCACATAAGTGAGTTTCTTAAATCTGCATATTCACGTACATTTTCATGTTTACTTTCCTTGTAAATAATACAATAATACATGTGGCTAATGTTTTGTTTTTATCAGGGGACAGGTGACATCTCTTTCTATTCATCCTTCTGGGAAATTAGCTTTGTCAGTTGGAACAGATAAAACATTAAGGTGAGTCAAAACTAATAAAGGAATGTGGAGAATCATAATTCAGTAACTCTTAGTAAGGTATTATAAGCAACAATTCCATGTTGGGACTCAGCCATGAAACACTGGCAAAACATATTTGTCATCAAACGGTTCAAAGATCCATTGGTTTGTCTTATGAAGTTCTAAGTACCAGCAATATTTTAAAGTCTTTTAAGAATACTTCCTGCTGTTCATACCTTCTTTTTGTGAGCTCTGACTCTTTACAAGTCACTTGCAGATGTATAAATATATTTGCATTTTGGAACACAATTTGCTTAACCTTCTGGAAACTGTCAAGGTTTTGTTTAGTGTGAGAAAACTAATTTTTTCACTAGGAATGTGTCCATGTTGCTGTAGATATCTTTTTTAAAGACATAAAATTCTATTTTAACACCACAAATTGTTATTGGGCTCCTTTTAGGCTCTGTATTGCAAATGATGGTTTAGAAAATAAATAACACAAATTCAACTTTATACTTTGCAAGCGATATATGAACTCATCATTTTCTCTTGCAATAAGAAGGCAGAAAAATGCACAGAGATGCTTAAAAGCTTCCTTAGGGTGCCTTATGTCAGCATTTCAGACTTCAGTTTCGCTGTGCTGTTTTTAACCAGAATGCATATTATCTCTTCTTGTCTTTCAGAACTTGGAATCTTGTTGAAGGACGATTAGCCTTCATCAAAAACCTGAAGCAAAGTGAGTTTAGCAGTCTAAATCCAAATAAGGTGGAATTAGATAGTTTTATTTTTTGTGTAAAGAAAAGTTGATTGAATTCATCAACAAGTCAGTTAATTGGAAACAACTTTC